ACACCTCCAATACCCCTGCATACCCCCTCCCCAGAAGTTTCTCAGCAGATTTGGGCTGTACTCAGCAACCGCAGTACACCCCCAAACTCAGTTATAAAAAAAAAAAAAAACAGTGGATGGACCTGTTCTAACCAGTCAGCAGACCGCCTACCAGTCGGCCCTACCGGTAGGCTGCAGAACGGTCCACCGTCGGCATCAAAACTTTCAAAAGTCTACACGATACGTGAAACAGCAGTAAATCAAGCAGTTTGGGCGAGATGAACATAACCTCAAACTATGTGCTTGTCCTCTTTGCTATAGACAACTCCACAAGAAAAGCATGACTGTGCCAGACTGTTTCGCTGGACTTTCACCAACTTGAACCCCTGGATTTGACTGATGGATAAGGACTCACCACGTCGCCTGGAGTTAGCAAAACCCCTGAGAAAAGGGGTGGACTTCAGTCACACCACAACCCTGCAATACTCTGTGTCAGTGTGTGTGTGTGTTGCCAGGTGGGCCGGACGGGCCGGGCTCGGGGAGCAGTGGGGGGCGGGCAACCCGAGGGAAGAGAAGGGACCACAACCGACGAAAGTTGAAACCGGGGATATGAAAGGGGAAGTCAAAATGGGGGATGCAGAGCACATAAAGGACAAATCATGGGTACTAAGTACTACTAACTTCCAAGTACTATAAAGTTAGTATAAACTGGTATGAAGTATAAATAATAAACCTCACTACAATTTTCTTTCTTCTTCTTTTTTTTTTAATATCATTCGGACCATTTCTCGATTTATGCATGTCACCCATCCGCAGGGGCCATGCTAATCGACAATGAATAGGTCGGAATGACGCACTTCCAAACCAGAGGTGGGGCAAAGATGTTAAAAGCACCAGTACACCATACATAGGCCCGCGCGTATCAGCGTGGGACCCGCACCACTTCGGAGGCCGCAATTTTTTTTTTCAACGGCGCCTCATCCCGCGCGGCCCCTCCGAGTTTTGCTTGTGGCGACAAAAACTTTCTGCAAGGCTGGGGCTTTAAGATTCTTAAAAAAATGGATAAATGATAAAAGGCTATTGAAAGCTTGGTTTCAGCGTTTCAAAGGAGGTCGGGGATGTGGCTGCACACTAGATCTCGAAGCAGTCCTGGGCGAGAAAGAGGGGTTGGACAGGAGGCAAGCATGGACGAAGAAGGGGAAGGAAAGAAGGGGGAGAAAAGGGGAGGGAGAGGAATGGAAGAAAAAAAAGGACAAAGTGGGACAAGGTGGAAGGAGGAACGGAAAAGAGGGGAGGAAAGGAGGGAGGAGAGCAGCAAGGGAGAAATAAAAGCAGAACGAAAAAGGGGTGAAAGAGGGAAGGAAAGAAGCAGGAGAGAAGAGACGAAAGGAATTGGGCCAACTGCAAATCAAGCTGTGGCTGGAAAAACTCATTGTGCATATGTCAAGGGACGCTTGACCCAGTTTCCAGCATTATGTGATTCCGTGGTGGGATGCTGGACCCAGTTTCCAGCAGGTGCAGCTCCCCACCAATAGAAAGGAGTCATCAACTAGGGAAGCAAACTACTGAGGAATGCCCATACCACCTCGGTTGTATAATTCCCACATGAATGTTAAAGGAGGAGAAGACGAAGACGAAGACGAAGAAGAGAGAGAGAGAGAGAGAGAGAGAGAGAGAGAGAGAGAGAGAGAGAGAGAGA